GGTCCTACCACGGTATATAACTACTAGTGATTTTCGAGTAGGTGTGTATAACTCCTAGATTTTGAAATGTATACATATCCCGTTAAAATTTTTGTACTAATTGCACATACATATCTACTAAGACTATATGGAATATCTTAAATACCTTTAAATTTATTTATTTTTAATTAAAAATATTTGAGATATTTCATATAATCTTAAATAATTATATGGATTTAGTGAATGGTCAAAATGTCAAATTATCATCCGATGGAAAAGAAAGAACGGGTTAGAAGAAAAAGTCTCCTGTCGCCAATAACAGATTTCTTAGAAAGCATAATAGTCAAGTGGACTGGGGAGCAAAAAATATTCATTTTTCTCTCCCCTATTTTGTTTTTCTTTTCAGCTTTGAGGTCTTGGCCTGCTTACACGCATTGTTAGGACTTAGGAGTTAGGTAGTTGTTATGGGTACATGGCCATATGTTTGGATATCACTTATTCTAGTTTGATTATTAAAAATATTTAATAATTAATAAAATAATTAATATTTATTATTTAATAAATTAAAATTAATTTATAAAATATTTTTAAATATTATAATTAATTATTTAATAAAAAGTATAAATTAATTTAAAAAATAATTAAATTGCTTGACTATAACAATTAGTTCTGTTGTGATACCACATTCGTATATTTTGAAGAAACAGTGACCCCAAACAGGTGACATTGAAAAGTCAATATGTATCAGTCAGGTCCATTGCCATCGTAGCTTTGGGTGCAACGCTACCAAATGCCTAGCATTTCTTCCTTTTTTTTTCTTTTTTTCGGTTCTCAGTCGCTGTTTTTAGTAATTAAACTAAGCATTAATATCATGAAATAACAAAGCAAATTACTCTTGCGTGGGTTAAGTTCAGCTTGATACTTTAATAGGTTTCATATCCCAAATTTTATTTTTTTATTATTTTTTTAACAAATTCATAAAAAATCGAATTCAAATCGTTGTTTTGAAAATAAAAAAATACATTTATACGTGACCTAAAAACCCAAGTGCAATATCCCAAATTTTATAACTCACGATGTAATAAATAAATATACATATTGAAGCCTTGGCATTGTGATAGACAAATTAATTGACTTGGAAAGGATTTGGTACAAATAAGGAAACAATATTTTTAAGTGTTTTTTAGTAAAATACAAAGGGTTAACTGGACATGCAAAGAGATATGTCTTGTGGAATCTGTTTGTCGGCCTGACTTTTCTCTTTTTTTTTTTTTGTCAAAAGTCATCATCCATGTTTTTCGTTTTTAAAGGAAAATGAGATAATATTTTTATATAATTTTATATTTTATTTAAAAATTAATTTTTTTATTTTATAAAATA